TCATAACTCACAAAACTCAAAAACTTAACACTGAAGAAATACATAGAAAAATACTTAAGTTATAAATAATACTATACCAAAGTAGGAAACTAATTCAGCTGCAAATTACAACTATGTAATAATACTCACTAGAAAGCTGAAGTATAATACACAGAAAGTATGATAACTGCTGTGTTAAAATCGATACGGTTATGGTTGATTTAAACATTTTTCAATCATGCACCTTTTGTAATTAAAAAAAAAAAGTGGGAAGCTTTCCTGGAGAAAAGTTTTCAGTTTTGCTAGAATGAACTTCTACAGAAATTATGCATAAGATTTATTTCACTGTAACATTTAAAGTTAAATTCATATTATCCTACCTCATAGTGATAGTAAGAAATAAATCACATACGGTTGAACTTACACCATACCTTCGCCAGCAGAGTTTTCCCACAGCCAGGAGGACCAGCAAGTAGAACTCCAGCTGGAGTCACCAATCCAAGAGCTTTGAACTGATCCGGGTTACGTACTGGTGCCTGGAAAGAATACCAATATTCATCATTACAGGTGTCCATTTTACACTGCATGTTCAAATTACCTCCAGACACATATTGTCAACACTGATTGTGAGGCCCGAAGATATGATCAGTGCCTGGCTTACCTGCACATACTCTATTATAGGCATGAGGTATATGGTCATATAAATAGAAAAGTCTTTACCCTTGAGGAATTTACACTTAAATGTAAGGTCGGAGAACATTTTAGACATAAAGATAGAATATTTCAACATTTTAAAATCAAGATCATTTCAGAAGACCATCTAAATTTCTAGGTTATAAAAAGTTTAAGCAATGGTCTCCTCTAAGAAATCAGAAGCAGTAACACCCTTCACATAGCCAAAAGCCAGAGATACTTGTTCACCGTAATCCCATGTATTTTCTCTTTCAGTAGTACATACCTCTAAATGGATCACACTTTAATTAATGAATCATGGAATGATTAGTAAAATAGAAAAGTAAAGTAAATGAAAATTAATTCAAAGTTTCATGGGCATTAAGGCTGCCTTGCCCTTAAGAGTATGATCAAGTTCAGGAAGTGGTTCTCAAACAATTTGGTCTTGGCTGGAACCTGAACTTTTTTCTTTCTTTCTTTTTTTTTTTTTAAACTCACTGCTATAGAAATCAAGCACAACCAAAAGAATCAGTATAAAACAGATCTCCACAGAATTATTCAGCCATAAAAACGAACAAATTCTGTCATTTGCAGCAATATGGATAACTGGAGGTCATTATATTAAATGAAATAAACCAGGCACAGAAAGACAAATACTGCATGTTCTCATTCATACGTGGGAGCTAAAAAAGTAGATTTCATAGAGGTAATGAGTAGAATGGTGGTTACAGGAGGCTGGGACGTAAAAGGAGAGGGTGAAGAGAAGTGGGTTAATGCATACAACAATACAGTTAGGTAGAAGAAATAAGTTCTAGTATTTGACAGCACAGTAGGGAAATGACAGTAACAATGATTTACAGTACATTTCAAAATAACAAATTGTTGTGCTCCAACACAAAGGAAAGATAAATATTTGAGGTGATAGACATTCCAATTACCCTAAATTGGTCATTACACATTGTATAAGTATAGTAAAATATCACATGTACCCCCTAAAATATGTACCACTATGATATATCAATTTTTAAAATAAATAAATAAAACAGATCTCAAAAGAATAAATAATCATTGTCGGTGGCTTAGCACTTACAAGAAAGCATGTAGTCAAGTCAGTTTAGACATACAACCTGGTACACACGCATGTAGCTTTATCCATCTCTGGTCTTTCACCTATCACATATGTTAATGATATTCTGCAGCTGATAAACCTACCAATATTGCCATGGTGAGCTCCTCTCTAATATCTTCCAGGGCACCAATATCTGCCCATGTCACATTAGGGACAGTGACAAAGCCTTCTCTTTTGGCAGAGGGTTGGACTGAGGATAGAGCAACAATGAAATCATTCACTTCAATGCACAGTCCTTGCATCTGCTCCTCTGAGAGGGGATCTTGGTCTCTTAGCAACCCTAGCAGACTTTGCAATTCATCCTTAAAGGGAATAATTGAGGGGGACAAAAAAAAATTATTGAAAAGTTACATTTTCTACTTTAAAAAATTATTACTGTGATATTTCTGTAAGCTACAGTGAATTTCTATGTATTATAATAATTTTCTCTTTCTTTGACATGAGACTTATGTTCATTTTATTCTAAATGATCATACGCTTTGGTCAAGTAAAGGTATACAACTATAATCAAATATTAATATATACGAATGATTTCTATATACTATTACTAGGGCTAGATATAGCAAACATAAGCAGCTGGCAAATACTATTTCAACAACCATGATATTTCAATATTTCCCATGTTTCATTTATAAATATTCAAGAAGCAGCCGCATTTTGATGAAATTAAAACAAAGTTACAGCCGGGTGTGGTGGCTCACGCCTGTAATTCTACCACTCTGGGAGGCCGAGGTGGGAGGATCGCTTGAGCTCAGGAGACCAGCCCAAGCAAGAACAAGATAAGAGCAAAAACCCGTCTCTACTAAAAATAGAAAAAATTAGCCGGGCATGGTGGCACATGCCTGTAGTCCCAGCTACTCGGGAGGCTGAGGCAGGAGGATCACTTGAGCCCAGGAGTTTGAGGTTGCTGTGAGCTAGGCTGACGTCATGGCACTCCAGCCCACGCAACAGAGTGAGACTCTGTCTCAAAACGAAGAAAAAGAAAATAAAAGAAATAAATAAAACACAGTTACTCTGGTGGTAGAATAATTTCATTAATGTGGTTCTTCGATGGTTTATCAACCAAACAGAGAGCAGGCAATTTTCCTATTACTACCAATCTTAAACTTAAAAGGCAGATTTCTTGCTTTGTGAACATGAAAGGATATGTGTAATTATAAAAAGAATGAGTTTATAGAAATAATTGTGGTTTCAAATGAGTACGAAAAAAAACCAAATGATATGAAAACAAAAGACCTGGATTTAAGTCCCTGCTTTATAAAGTAGAAGCTGTGTGGCCTTGGGTAAGTCACAACCTCTTAAGCTTAGTGTCTCTGATTATAAAATGGGGAAAATAACGATATTTACTTCATACGGTTATATGGATCAAATTACACAAAATAGGGAAGCCACCTGTGCAAATTATAAAATGCCACATAAATGTTATATTGAGTTTTCATAACTCACAAAACTCAAAAACTTAACACTGATTTTGGACTAAGGAATGATCCTCTCATATTCACTCAACTCTCTTTCAGAGCTCTTTGCAGCTAAGGACAAGGACATTGGCAAACTGTTCCTGTGAAGGACTAGATAGTAAACACTGCAGGCTTTGTGCGCCATATGCTCTCTGCTACAAAGACTCCCGTGTGAATTCTCCTGTGAAGTGCGAAAAGTAAAAACAGAGCCTGTTTCTAGGCTCACTGTAAACAAACGAGCATGACAGTGTTCCAATACAAATTTAGTTTACAAAAACAAGTGGTAGGTAGGTGGGCCAAAGTATGCCAACCCCACTCTAGAATTATATAATCATTACTGTAAAGTGAATTTAATCAGAATAAACTAAAAAATAAAACTAGTATCTTTAAAATTATAGACATCTTGGATGTAACTAATAATTATTCTATAGATAAAATGCCAATAAAACAGGAAATCATAAACCTCAACTATATCGACCCTTTCTTGAGTGTAAGATAACATAAAGAACATTAATTAAAAGGCCAGTTTAGGTTGCCTTTAAAGAAAGCACCTGTGTTTTAGAAGTGAGCTCAGTTCTCAGCCTTTCCTCCTGGGCTCCTTCAGGTGGCAAACCTTCAATCTCAGGTTCGTTCTGCTTCTCCTGCAGCTTCATTAAGACCCTATTGACCGCACACATTGCTGCTTCTCGGCAGAGCGCCATCAAATCAGCACCAACAAAGCCTGGCGTTAGGTGTGCTAAGTGACAAAAATTAAAAGCCTCAGGAAGTCTCAGTTTTCTGCACAAAGTTTGAAGTATTCTGTAGAAAAGATGGGAAAAAATGTAATAGTACAAACAAGTCACCAAATATATTTATTTGAAGTCCTTCATCTCTGTCAATGGTATTATAATGGATAGTACATAAGATCAAATAGTTCACTCAGTCAACAAATGCTAAATCACTATTACATGTCCTACCTTATTCCACAAAGGATTATGGTAAATATCTACTTTGTTAGGTAGGAACTACGCCAAGTGCTGTGTGGAATACTTAGATTTAAAAAAAATATTCTGCCTAAAGAAATTTACAATATTATAGGGGAAGTAAGATAACAACTTATGGGGGTACATTTAGAGGAGATTAAATGGACATCTACCTGAAATAAAAGCCTCCATACTCAAATAACCCATTAACTCTATTCATCACTAAAAGCTATCTCGATATCTACTTTATAACATTTTTTTTTTTTTTGAGACAGAGTCTTGTTCTGTTGCCTGGGCTAGAGTGCCGTGGCATCAGGCTAGCTCACAGCAACCTCAAACTCTGAGGCTCAAGTGATCCTCCTGCCTCAGCCTCCTGAGTAGCTGGGACTACAGGCATGCGCCATCATGCCCAGCTAATTTTTTGTATATATTTTTAGTTGTCCAGCTAATTTCTTTCTATTTTTTTTTAGTAGAGATGGGGTCTCGCTTTTGCTCAGGCTGGTCTCGAACTTCTGAGCTCAAACGATCCACCTGCCTCAGTCTCCCAGAGTGCTAGGATTACAGGCGTGAGCCATCACGCCCGGCCTCGATACCTACTTGAACATCCAATTTTATATTAGGATAGTTACTTCTCTAACTTTATCATTACCTACTGTTCATCTCCTGTATTGCATGTATGAAAAATTTTACTCAACCCAATGGCAACATGGTATGTGTTAATGAATTGCGGACTTCTAGATTATTACTATTAAAGGAATATCTTGAACAATTTCTGGTAAGATGTATCAAATAAAAACTTAAACGCAGTAAAGATGTTCAGGATGAAAGGTCTGAAGCCAGACTGCATGAGTCTGAATAGCAGCTGTCATTCTGTGTAATTTGGGCCAGTTACCTAACCTTTGTGCTTTAGTTTTCTCATTTGTTAAATATATATTATAATGGCACTTACTTATAGGGTGGTTATTGTAAATGAATACATGCAAAGCACTTAGAACAGTGGCTGATCCATAGTAACTGCCCAATAAATGTTAATTATTATTTACATATGGTGATATTATATATTAACTGGGAGAAGCAAGCGTATTATGAAATTAACAAATTTGTACAGGAGACCAGTATTTTCAAATGTCAAGCTAACTGAGAATAAATTACAGAAAAATAGGCCAGGCTTGGTGGCTCATACCTGTAAATCCCAGCACTTTGGGAGGCCAAGGTAGGAGGATCACTTGAGGCCAGGAGTTCGAGACCAGCCTGAGCAACACAAGGAGACCGTCTCCACAAAAAATTTTAGCCAGGCATGTTGGCATACATCTGTAGTCCCAGCTACTCAGGAAGCTGAGGCGGGAGAATCGCTTGAGCCCAGGAATTTGAGGTTGCAGTGGGCTATAATGATGCCACTGCACTCCAGCCTGGGCAACAAAGCAAGATCCTGTCTCAAAAAACCAAAAAACAATTTTCAGCCTTCCTTTCCTTGACCTCTCATTAGCATGAACTCTCACTCCTCCCTGGCTTCCATTCACTTCCCTTGGCTTCCATTACACAACATTCTCTTGATGGTCCTACTACTTCTGGGTGTTCCTTCTATATGCCCTGCCTGATAGCCTCTTTGAGCCTGTTCCCCAGACCCTCTGACACTTGTTCTTTATATTTTCTCTGGATCATCTCATCTACTTTCATAACTTCTACTGCCATCAATACCTGGATGACTCCCAAATCTTCACTACCTCAGAGCTCGAGTCATTTGTTCAATTGCCAACTTGCCATCTCTAACTGGACATCCCACAAGTACCTCTAATTGAACCGACCATATCATCTCTATCCATCCCCAAATCCTCTTTCGCAACTGAATTATACTCTAGTATTCCCATCCCCTCAATAGGAAACAATATATACAGATACTTAGGCCAAAAACTTGAAAATATTTCCCTCTTGCTCACAGTCCTCACCTCCCCACTCATATATTATATTGATAAACATGACTTATTGCTTCTATTTCCTAAATGTCTCCAAATTCCTCCATTGTCTCTATACTCCCTCCCAGCTCCATAAGCCTACCCACCAACACCTGTGGCTGTCACACTAACCCATTCCCGATCTCCTATCACCCCTTCTTCATACTGCAGCTACAGTGATCTTTTCAAAACAAAAATCTGTTTTCATCACTGTCTTGCTTAAATTAACTGCTTTAATTCTTCCCACCACTCACCGAATAAGTCCAAAATCCTTATCAAGGTGCGTGTGAACTGGCTTCTGTACACCTCTCTGGCCTTTCCACATCTTACTCCTTCTTCACTCTCTGAACTCTAGCCATATTGTTCTTTTTCCAGCTCTCTGGGCACACTGAGCTCTAAATTACCTCAGGGCCTTTACACATGCTATTCCTTCATAAAATACTCCCGCATCACACGATCAGTTAATTGCTATTTGTTTTTCAAGTTACAGTATCCTAAAAGAAGGCTTTCAGAAGCACAGACCATGTCAGCTTTACCTGATACATGAATTCAATAGCTTAAGAAGAAACTGTCAAATAATCAAAAGGTAAAGCTACATCAGGTACTGGGAAGAAGAGAAAGATGGCCTCCCTCCTAAGCCTTTCTCCTGTTTACAGTGCTTTCTCATCACTTTTATTTCCTGCATTCATGAACTCTCCTGTTCTCCATCTCTCCCCTTCTTCACTGTTCCTATAACTAGTTCCTATCACTATTTACCACTTTTCCTAAAAGTTGCTGGTGATCATGTACATCCATTTCAGTGTCATTAACTGAAGAGAAAAACCATTATAAATGTGATATTTCAGAACTTTTCTTAACAAGATTTCTACTCCACTATCTGAACTGTGGTTCCTGAGATATTCTTACTTATATTGAGCTATATTTTTGGTTACTGGTGGATGTTTTATTTGCTCTATGGACATTCAACCCCAATTACTAGGACAGGCTGGTCCTACAGCAAACATAGATAGCTTTACAACTCTCTGGCTGTCATTTCATTATTGGTCATGGGACCAGTGGTCTTAGGCAAGTTAGTGCAATAGGTTAAAGTATAGAACTCAGATTTAACCTACATATGGACCAGAGGGCACTGTGCTCTTCCATAGCTCCATATACTGTCCCTAAGCTGGTCAGGCAACTAAAAAACACAAGCCATCGTTAATAAGACCAGACAGATGGGTAGGAATAGGTAAGTCCATTATCACGTCTGAAAAAATAACCTGAAACAATTATCCTACTGATGAGTAAATTGTTATCTTAATGTGGGCTTTTTCCTTTCTCAATCAATTTCACTGGTACAAAAAGAAAGAGAGAGAAAGAAAAGGCTATGAGGTATTTCTCACCCCTTACTTTCAAAGCATTTAGTTCAGAAGACTTAGTGGCATACAAACTTCATTCCATAAAAATATACCTTTCCCTGGATGCTTCATCTGGGATACCTAGGCATATTTCTCGGTCAAACCTTCCTGCACGTCTCAAAGCAGGGTCTAACGAGTCTGGTCGATTAGTAGCTCCAATAACTAGGACCCGAGCTGTAGCAGCCATGTTATTCAGATCTAATGGGGACCAGAGACAGAATGAGTGATGAACAGGGCACTTGACATTAAGGGCAATAATGTTTACACAAATCATTTAACGATTAGAGAGAAAGTACCACACATTTTAACAGAAACGTGTCTCTGTGTGTGTGTGTGTGTGTGTGTGTGTGTGTATAAACTAACCCTTATAAATGTCAAATGTTTTTTTTTTCCCTTCTACCCTCTCAGATCATAAATGTCAAATAAGTTAAAAGATATGAGGAAGATAAATAAATTACAAACTTTGCTCGTAGCAGTTCACAATCTATGGAGAAACATTAGTGTGTAAATAAGAAAACAGGGCACAAGACAAATTTTGTGAAAAATCATAATAGACATGAACAAAGTACCACGGTAATACAAGGGAAGATATAATGAATTCCAACTGAGAATAAATGAGGGTTCACGGAGATGGTGATATTTGAAAAAAAAACTTTGAAGGGTAAATATAATTTTAATGATCAGAGATGCAGATCAATGAAATGCTACACAGTAGAAACGGCGTGAGTAAAAGCACAGAGGTTCAAACATGCATGGCACGTTTAGGCAAGGGGAGCGGGACAACAGGAAGCCTGGGGAAGATCAAGCACTACACGTCTCAGAATAAACTGACAAAATCGATTTGAGAAGGGGGCACAAAATGGTCTTCAGCTGCTCTGGCTTAATCTAGGGATAGGTTTTTAAGAATGGATAGAATGCAGGGCTTAAAGTTTATCTTTCCTAAATATTATTCCTCTCAAATGAACCAGGATGGAACAGCAGGAAGTTTGGCATTATACTCCCTCACAGGTAACAAGATGGTAGTAATGGCTGGTCCGCGAAGGTAGTGAGTTATCTCACTTGATTGTTCACAGTCAGTTACAGATTGAACTCCTTGTTCTACTACTTAACCCC